TACTTCGGTTTGTTAGGCAGAAAATAAGGAGCCAAATCGAAATATATATCATACTCACACATTTTCAGATATAGATATCATAATTAGATTGAAGATTAAATAGGGCAGTAGCTGGGGAGAAATAATTGGGGTGAATCGAGGGAGATATGGAGGGAATAGGCTAGATAAAATAAATACAGTTTTCTTAGATAAATTCATATGGTAAATAACTAAGAAGAGATAAGACATGGGAAGATATTTTATGTTTAATAAATTATTCGTAAGGAATTAGTGTATTAAATAGTAATTTATGCAATCAACAAATCTAAATCCGCAAAATTAAAGTAACGGAAATATTTTCGGTGTTAATTAAAGATTATGGTTCAAATGATATTCATCGATATTGCGAAAAACTACTAAGAACAAATAAAAGATAATTTCAAGAGCACATTTATTAGAAAATAGAAACAGGAATAAGGTAAGCAAAATAATGGCGCCGATTGTAAAGTGATCATACAGGTATTATATTAAAATAATAATGGAATTCTTTATAGCTGCAAAAATATAGAATTACGAGGTTTTAGCAGTCAAATTTAGCCCTTGTAAACGTCTCCATTAGAAAACGGAAATTCTGGATCAACTCCCATACGCTCTTGACCCATAAGGCTAGGCTTGAAGTCTTTATCTAAAGGAATCCGCTCATTGAAATGCATGAGGATGTCTCTATCCGTAGGACAAGAGTATAAAAAAGCAGGAGTTTTATACATATTTTCAATATACTTCCATAGGCAAACCAATTCGGAGGGAATATCAATTTGTTTATAGGTTCTAGAAGCGACACGAACATGCTGCAGTTTGGGCATCAATTGGCAGTCTGGGAAAGTAAGTTGTTTTCCTAGGATATATGGATCATTACGACATTTAAGAAAATCATTAAGTCTAAATAAAGTGGTTATCAAAGGCTGTTCCTTGCCATTTTTAAGGCAATTCATGAGATTTGTGCTAAGGCCTTCAAAGCTTTTTTCCGCTTCACGAACTTCCCGGCTGTTGCGAGAACTTATCAGATATGGGTCTTTGAAATCTTCTATGAAGTTCTCCAAATCTTCAGTTGAATACGCAATCACATTGTCCAAGCTAACGTCGTCTTTCTTGCCACGCTGCACCAACATGACAGGCAACTGTCGGGCAGCATCCAAATGTTGGTAACTTTCTGGTGGGCATTCAAAGTTAACTGGAGTCACTCGGAGGTCAATAAGTCCCTTTTCCACAAGGCAAAATAGCATCATAAACCACTTATGACATATTTGGCATGGGCCTTTCTCATCTCGATATGAAGGAGAAGGCTTTACAAAGAGTTCCACTAGAGGCTTAGTGAAATTCATTTGTTATTTTGAAATCACAAGAAAACTATACTTTATGATATCGCATAAAAATAAAACAATTAAATGTTAATGAAGGGCAAGCTAGGTGGTTATAAGGGCTCGGGGATGAGAATAGAGACGAAACTCAACCACAGCGGCACTGGGAGATGAGGCATTAGAAACTGTGTAAACAGTAAGCGTAACATAATATATATATAATAATATTAATAACTAAAAAATGTA